TATTTATCAAATTTGGGAGGCGGGAGGGTTGATTGATCAAAGCCCTTCTGGTATAAAAAAATTAAGGACAATATATGTTGCTGGAAAGACATGATATGATACTGAATGTAATTTGAATTATTTGGTCCCTCTCTAGTTGTGAGGGTACAAAATGTAATTTGAACTACTACATTTCTCCTCATTCAATTTCCACTCATTGAATCTTGGTATTAACTCTCATTCTTTCATTGGATCCTATATTTAAGCTATTCTTTTCTCTAATAAATTCTATCAGTTAGATCTATGTTTTATACTTCTAATGATATAAAGTACATGTCTTTAAAAATTGACCCAAAAATAAAACCATTCTTCAATCCTCTTGGCAAGTAAACAATTCAATCATCAAGATCAAATTTGTCAATCCATTATGCCATAATTAAATAAAAGGTTAAAATATAAATAAATAAAAAATAAAAAATCGGGCACATCTCTAATGTTTTATATTAATCATGTTAAATAAAAATAAGAGTGATAAATAATAATTATTCTTGTTGATATTGGAATGAAATAAAAATAAAAATGATTTTTGTGGTGGTAGATCAACAATCGAACCTTTCGAGCCAAATGTGTTGACCCTTGATAATAATTAAATAAAAAATGAAAAAAAGATAAGTAAACACAAAAAGCATTATGTAATAATGCAGAAATTTTATAAATAAATGTTTAGGTACGTATCTAATATTTTATATTAATCATATTAATGTGATAAATAATAGTTGTTTTTTATTGATGTTGGGAATAAAATGTAAAATTTAAAACCAACCCAAAAATGAAAAATTTTTTCTACTGGTAGGTCAACAATTCAACCTTTTGTGTGATATGCATCAACCCTTAATCTCATAACTAATAATAAAATTTAAAGAAGATAAAAATTACAAAAAATGGAAAATGTAAAACTCTATTGAAAACATTTGGGCACATCATCATATTAAAAATTAAATACAACAAAAAAATTATTTTATCTTTTTTATTGATGATGGGAATATAATACAATATTTAAAACTAACCCAAAAATAAATTATTTCCCTACTTGGTGGTAGACCAACCCGTGAAGTCATAATTAATTAATAAAAAGTAAAAAAGATAAAAATGCAAAACATATATAAATTATGTAGAAACCATTTGGGTATATCTCTAATATTTTATATTAATTAACCATATTATAGAAAAATAAGTGTGGCAAAGAATAATTAATTTTATTTATGATAGAAATGAAATATATATTTTAAAACCAACAGAAAAATGAAGTTGTTTTCCTATTTGGTGGTAAGTCAACAATTCAACCTTTAGGGTCAAATGTGTTAACCCCTTGTGTGATAATGAAATAATAATAAAAAGTAAAAATATTAAAACACACAAAGTATATAAAATATGTAGAAAACATTTGGGCACATTTCTAACATTGTATATCCATCATTTTAAAAAAATAATTACGCCAAATAAAAATAATTTTTATAGACAAATATAAAAAAAAAAGTTGTGTATATATATAGAGAGAGACACTATATACATACACTATCACAAAAAATTGCAAATTGCACATTACTAGTTGCACTAAATGTCTAAAACACCATTAATGGAATGTTTAGTTAACACGTGTCATGCGGAGTAGAGGTCGATAAGCAAGTCAATGTTTTCCTGACAAGTTTGGATCTATTGAGCACAATATGTTGTGAATAGCACTTTATATCCATATATTGGGAATATGTTTTATACTGCTATTCGATCAAAGGGGTGCAACATAGATGGGTCCAACCCATGCCAAGACTGATCCAATCCGAAATTTTTAATGGGCTGGGCTTGGATTTTCAGTCCTCAAGCTAGGTTTGGGCCCAAGATTTCAGGCATTTTTATTTTTTAGGCCCAACCCTTAGGTAATTCAAAAAAGCATGGCTTGATTATACACATTAATACATGCATATATATATATATATATATACTACTTTAGAATGTATGAATAGCCTCTAAAGATTTTTGGAATTTTAGTTGGACGAGTTTTGCCCCTTTGTGTTAATGCTTTTAGATTTTTATATTTGAATTTGAGGACAAATTGATATTTTGTTGATTGTTTTAAATGAGTTACTTAAATGAATTGTAACTGAATTTTTAATGGAGTGTTTAGTTGGATGTATTTATCTCTCTTTTAATTAGTAATGAATTATAACTGAAAATTCATAGAGTGTTTAGCTAGATCTCTCTCTCCCTCTTGTAATTAATATTGAACAAAATCATTATTATTTGGTCATATTTAAAAGTAGGTTCAATTGTCACTATTTAATGATTTTAAAATGTGAATTTTGAGTGTGGTTCCACAATTTTGATTATGGTTTTTAGGTTAGCTTTTCCATTGGTTTATAAGTAGTTTTTGCTCAATCTCAATATGTTTGAGAGGGTCTCATCCGAAATATCCATTTCAAAAAATCAATCTTTTTCCTAAAAATTTTGCTAGATATGATTTAAAAATTGATTTATATTATTATGAGCATCTCAATATCAACAAATAAAGAAAAATACTTGGGTTCCCCAATTATTCAAGGCATAATTGATAAGAAGGCTTTGAATAACATCAAACTAAAATTAAGAAGAAAATTTAGGGTTGAAAATTGAAAATTGTTTTTAAAGATGAAAGAGTGATCCTTATCAAATAAGTTTTGAATGTAGTTCTTCTATTTACAAGGCGTCAACTGGCCAATCAATAAGGTCTTTTGGATTAAATCCGACCTGCACCTAGGTTGGGGTTATGGGCTTGGGGAATGGGCCACCCCATTGTGTAGCCCTATGGAGCAAAAAAAAAAAAAGAAAAAAAATGTAATTCCTTTATTTCAAATGATGTTCAAATGAATATACTCCCCAAAAGATTGATAAAATTCAAAGTCAATTCTATTGAGACACAAGAGAAGGCAAGGGAGAAATTGTAGGATAAGTTAGAAAAGGCTTTACAAATTAATGACTTTTATTTTTGGGAAAATTACTAAAAAGCCCTAGAGTTTCTAGCAAATTTATAAGAAGTATTTTTCCCTTATATGTTAATGCTTTCATATTTGAATTTGAGGGAAAATCAAATATTTTGTTGATTGTTTAAAATGAGATCAAAATAGGACAAATTGAGCCATCCATTGTTAAATTCTTGCTGAATTGTATAAGAGGATAAAAATGAAATTCTTTTATGCTTCTTAAATAACTACACATGTCTGATTTTTTTTTTTTTTGATAACTCACAATGTGTCTAAGTAGACATATATAAATCATAGAACTTAATGAGTTGTAATTGAAATAACAAGGAATATTTAGTTGGACAAATTTAATTACTCTAGACACTTGGTGCTATATGTTGATTTGTAGATGAATTACAAATTACTTGGAATCTATAAGAAGTGGCAATAGATCTTTAAAGCTTTTGGACTTTTTCTTAAATTAAAATACTCTTCTCTCTATTATGAAGATATAAGTTGTAAATTGAATACTATTTTTAATTTCATCCTATTCTCTCTCATTAAGTCTCATATTTAAGGTTAATTTTCATTCTCTCTCATAAAATCGTATATTTAATATATTTTTGTTTCTTGGCATAAAATTTTAATATAATTAAATTTGTGAATAACAATTTTAATAGTATAAAAACTTAATTCAAAATTGGCTTGGAAACAAAACCAATTTTTAGCTATGATAAATAAGAAGATTTTTTATGAATAATAGAAACGGAATACAAAATTGAAAACTGCCTTAGCAATGAAACCACTATCATGTTTGTTAAATGATGGAAATGGAATGCAAAAATTATGAAAAAAGAAAATTAATGTCTATTCCACCACCTTACTAAACAAATCAAATGATTCAATAGTTTGATTAGACAGGTCACCATGGTGTTGGTCAAGTCAATGATTTTTTTTACAAATAAGCAATTTAGTGAAAAATGAACCTAAAATCTTGGTCAAGTAACTATTTAATTAGTCTGATCGATGTCTAGGCAAGTAATGGTTCAATTAGCACAATAAATTGAAAATATAGATATAAGTTATAGAATAAGAAGATTTGATACAACTCCTCAAGTTGAAAGGCAATAAATCACCAATATATATAGAATTATTGTTGTTGTTGTTATTAGTTGAAATTGTCTTGCGCAAAGTACATGCACATGTACTAGTTTGCATAAATGCATATATGCATGTATAATTTTAAAATGGGTTCGTTGAGCAAATCAAACCCCTCCTGTGCCAAGTCCAACTCAAATGCATCAAATTATAGTGCAGGTTGAACTTAAATTGAGAAGATTGGGCTTAATCTCTAGCTCAATCATTTTTTTTTGCCCCGGCTCAACCGGAACATGGCTTGATTATACACATTCACCATAAATCTGGCCCAACCCGCCTTACTTGTACTTCTATAGTCTTATTTGATCACGGTCACATTCAAATTTCAATAGACTGTGGAACCAATGATGAAATTCCACGCCGGTAATAAATTTATAGCCCCAGTACCACTGTAAGGTTGCGGACGGGTCCATGTATTTACATACTGGCCTAGAATCTTATCATTGATTTCACGGTCAAACCTTGCTAGTGACGTTTACGGGGAGATGTTTGTACCGGATGTGGCCAGCGTTCTGTGTTCAACTTATAGGAATACGGCCCGACATTATAACGGTACCGTGTGGGTTAACTTATCACGTGGACAGAACGTACCGTCGATCGTGTGTTTTCAGGAATCCGGATTTGGTCCTAACAAAATTTGTCCTAACGTCATCCTAGCCGTTTATTGGTAACATCTCCCATGAATGAAAAAAATATAAGTACGGATTACAACCGTTGGATTGGTGGATCAGGAGAAATAAGAAGGCTCCGTTCTAAAGTTAGAAGGGCATGACACATTTGATCAAAACCCAAACGACTTCCATGTTCACCTGCCGGTCGCAGTTACACTTCTTTTTCTTCTTCTTCAACTAACTCTTGTCTTGTTTTTATTCTCATTTCATGGATAGATTGTCATTAAACCCTAACTGTGATTCCGGATTGATAATGTTAGTTTATGATTTTATTACTTTGAATCTGCATATTCCATCTCTTGGCTCTCTGCACAGTGGGATCGGAAAGGACTTCGGAAAAGAAGATGAACGAAAAGGAAAATTTGAAGATCATCCAGTGGGAAGATTTTGAGCAGGAGGTCGTTCGACTATGGAGCCTTTCAACTGTGCTTAACAAAGCTAAGGAGAGGAAGAGTTTACTGGAAAAGCAACTTGAATCACTCATCCATGTAGGGTTTTATATCTAACTTGAGAATTTCATTTGTGCTTCGCCCTTAAAATAGTTCTTTTTTGATTATCTCTCTTCAAAGAGTTAAAAGAAAAGTTGAACTGTGCTTTCGAAAGATATTCTCTCTCTTCTGAAAGTCTGGGATTTAATTGATTATCCCGCTGTATAGCGGGCGACAATATGTTGGGTAGGTAAAAGCAGAATCACTAAGTAGGTCAAATGAGGTGGAGGAGATGCTCGATAAAATGAGGGCTCGGAAGTTGGTGATGGGAAAAATGTTGATGTATTCAAAAGTTGTTTCGGAGGATGTGAGGAACCAAGAGGAGGAGCTTAAAATTGAACTTGGATCACTTCTAGTTGCTGCAAAATCTCTTTGTGTGGCGAGTAAGCAATTGCAGGTAATTAGCAATTACTCTTGATCTTGTATGGTAGTATGATATTTTGTTGATTCAGTTTAACCATTTTAGAAGTTTGTTTATAAGAGACATATGCTATGCATTGTGCTGCTATTGTTAATGCTGTTGTCCATTATTAATTGTTTCTGTTGTTGATAGGAATCTCAAATTTATATTATTGTAAGAGTTGTAAGACAGAAAGGGGCTGAGTCCCGTCTATGAAAATGTACAATTTATAAATTGAGGTCTAAACATCCACACTACAGGGAAAAATGATATCCTGCAAACTATTACATGAATGAGAAAAATTAAGATCTGAATAGCGCTTCAAAATAAGTTACCAGAAAAAATTATATCCTCCACTTGGCTACTAATGGATCTCAGATCATGTCCTTCCGTTGAAGATGTGCCTATTTCTTTCTTTCGGTATGTCTTGAATCTCTTGACGGTTAGCAAATTGCTCTGATTTATGTGGATTCAACCAACTCATTATGGACATAAATCTTAAAAAATTCTGATGCACTTTTTCACACCATGCCTTAGAACCTTGTTTGCTATCTTGACAGACTCTTGCTGATCTTTGATTGGGAAGAATGTATCCCAAATCTGTCTTGTTTAGCCATACCTAGACTAATCTTGGATCATTGTTGTGGAGCTGTGGAATTCAGAACTCTTTCATTTTAGGGGTAGTCTGTTGCATTCTATTTTTAGCATATGTGGTTGTCTTATCCTTTTTTTTCTCTGAGAGTATGGAATCTTGGTGTTTGGGTGTAGGGCGATTGGATGGGCTGGTTTCAGATTTTGGAAGAAGCACAAAGAGATAAAAAACAAATTAAGAGCATGAAGTAAAGAGGTCTTTGGTTTGATAGGAGGAAGGAAAATATCCATCTTAAAAAAGATTGAAGAAACTGACAAAATAGTGGTAGAAAATTCAATGAATTTGGAGAAAAAGAGGAGGAAGAAACTTAAAGATTGAGTTTAAAAAATTGCTTACAAGGGAAGAGATTAACAAGATGCAGAAATCAAGATAGAGATGGATAGAAAAGGGAGATAGGAGTTTGAGGTTTTTCCACAATGTAACTCATGGTAGGAAAAGGAAAATCTGATTCTTAAGTAGAAGTTGATCGAATTGAGGTGACTAATCAAAAATATATAGCTAGGTTTTGAAAGATGCCTTTCCTCTCTTGTATCAAATTTCTGTAAATCAGGATTCCTCGGTGGCTGAGAATTTCAATGCCTCTGGTAACTCTTTCAGTTGGAATCTATTTTGTAGGAGGTGCCTCTTTGATTGGGAAGTCGAAGAGTTTGCAAATTTGTTGTGCCTGCTTCATAACCAGAGGATTGACTCAAACAAGAAGGATGCTTGGAGATGGAATGGGAGGCTGATGGCAGGTTCACTGTAAAGTCTATGTTCAGTAAGTTGATAAGTTCAGGTCAGGGGAACTTTCCGGCTAGGCAGGTTTGGAACTCAATTAGTCCTTCTAAAGTGAAGTTTCTGCTCTGGACTATCTGGATTGAAAGAAAGGAACCTTGGTTTGGAAAACTATTCCGGCTGCAGTGCTTTGGACTATCTGGATTGAAAGAAATAACAGAATTTTTCAGGGCAAAGCTAAATCTCCAGAGGCAATGGTGCAGAAAGCTGTGGGTAAACTACTGTCTTGGGTATCGGCAACGGAAGAATTTAAAAATCAGAATTTGAGATTGTTGTTTAGTCAGACTTGGATGCATTTGTAATCTGAGGTGGCTCTAGGCAGCCTTTACTGGCCTAGGCTTCTTTGTACTATTATTTGATTTAATAAAATACCTTACCTTTTACAAAAAAAAATATATATATATATATATATATAGCTAGGTTTTGAATAACCATTCTGAAGTTTGAAGTTGGAACAGCTTAGTTCTCCCTCCTCCCATCCTCCACAAAGAGAAATTGCATGTGGAGTGGTTAGAATGGAATGACACTTGGAGAAGATGAAGTGAAAATAGCAATGTTTGAGATGGACAAAAACAAAGTCTCTGCTCTTGATGGATCCACAATGGGATTTTACCAAAAATGGTAGGGGATCATTAAAGATGGACTTATGGAGGTATTTGTAGATTTTCATGGAAATAGAATTTTCAGTAGGGATGTCAATGCAACTTTTGTAGCTCTTAATTCCTAAAAATACCAAGGCTGCTCACCGCCTCAACCAACATATTTTCTTTCCATAAACAATGCTTGAAAATAGCAATGTTTGAGATGGACAAAACAAAGCCTCCGCTCTTGATGGATCCACCACAATGGGATTTTACCAAAAATGGTAGAGGATCACTCGGAGTCTCTTGTCCTTTTGTGTTCTTTATTTGGTCCTGGTTCTCTTCTCTCTTTGGTTGCAGCCTTACAGGTGGACACCTCCCTTGGACATGGTGAGCCTATTTGACCCAAGCTTTTTTAGGCAACCAAAGAACTGTGGAAGGGTTAGGTGGAGAGCCACAAGAGTAGCTATTCTTTGGTCTGTTTGGGAAGAAAGGAATAATAGGATCTTTAAAGGAGTGGAGAAATCCAAGGAGGAAACTATAGAAAAAATAACCATTATGATTATCCACTAGTTGAAAACTTTGGACTTGTTCAAAAATTTCTCAGCTAAGTACATATATAGGAACTGGGGAGAAGTGGCAGTTACAACTTCCCTAAGACCTATTGTGCAGGCACTATGGTCTCCACTAACACAACAAAGAACAAAGTTGAACTTTGATGGGAGCTCTAGAGGTAATTTGGGTCCTTTAGGAATAGGTAGAGTATTCAAAAATGGAGAGGGTAGAACCTTTGTGATGTTTTCGGGGCCAATAGGAGTGGGAGACTCGTTGAGAGCGGTGGTGATGGCTTTGCTTCAAGGGGTAAGATATGCTAAACAGCTGGGGGTACATCAAGTTGACATAGAAGGAGATTCTAAATTGTTAATTGATCGGTTGCATTCATATAGATTGGGAGCCTGGATATATAGACAACCCATAAGAGAAATCCTCAACATAACAAGGGAGACTGGAGCTTGCTACATGTGGACAAGAAGATCAACTAATGGGCTAGCTTATACCTTAGCCAAACAAGGGACTGTGAGGGGGAGTTTGTTGTGGGTAGTGTTGTAAGAAGATTACTTTGGGTTCAACTCCCTATTTTAGGGGTTGACAGTTGTATCCTAATTTTATGTTAATGAAGTTACTGTTTTCAGTAAAAAAGGGCAAACTTCTTGAAGTACCCCTAAGTTTTAGGAAATTGACTAACTTTACCCCTTCTGTTTACATATTGTCTTAAAGTATCCATAAGTTTTCTGACAATCAACTAAATCCTCCCCTGCCGTTAGTGTTCGCTGATATTTCATCATAATCTATTCACATGTGACATCGCATGACACAAATTTTTTTAAAACCCAAAATTACCCTTTTGTGGTTGATTTTTCCCTCCATTATTCTTTAAATTTTCAAAATATAGTTCAACAAACTTCAAAAGAGATATCAGCTTAGCATCAACAAAATTTGAAATTTTAACATCTCTGCCCACAATCCATAATTTCTGTTTTCCCTAATCTCCTCTTTATCAGCCCAGAATTGCAAATCCTAGATAAATAGAACCAAAGAACTAATAAATCAGAACCTAGTTTGGGTGCCTTCTCTGCAAACTTTGGGTCAAAAAGATACAATGGCCTTTTTGGAAACAAACATTTATCTTCTACGTTGATTAGTTGCTAGTCGGAGCTGCAGGTATATAGTTTGAAGCTTCCTTTAGACTCAAAGAAACGAAAAAGAGCCTAAAGTCATGAAGAAATGAAACTAGCAAACTCTGGCACTGCAAAATATCCATTTCTTAACAATAAAACTAATGATAACCACTTTGAAACTATTGATATTGTTTGGGTTCAAGGGTATTCTTGTCATTTTTGTTCTTTTGTATTTGGGCACCCATATGAGGGCTTACTTGTAATTTCTCTCAGTAGTATAAAATCTCAAGTTTGAGAGAGTGAACAACAACTCTCTCTTCTCTACTTGAAACTTCCTTTCTCTCTTCTTCTCTTGTTTTCTTTCTCAATAAAACCTAGATATTGCAACTTAGTATCAGAGAAACTAGAAGGTCGTGGGAGAGTCTTTCTCTACTGGTGTTCGCTCGGAGGGTGACTTGCTGACGTCAAACCGCCACTGGGTGACATCAGTAGTTTGTACAATTGGCTATGGCAATCTCTAAAAATTGTATGGTTTGTTTCACCTTAATTTTAGATGAATTTTGGTATACGTCTCGTTGTGGTTTAATGTTTTTATGATTTGTTGTGGATTTTTCAAGTGAAAAACCGTAGAAACTCCATATCGGGTTTAGAGGCTTGTTTCTCTTGTTTGATGGGTTTTTATTCTGCAAAAGCTGGTTCTTCTAGGTCAGTTTATATTTTGGGAATGACAGGAAGTGGTTCCATATTTTTCTGAACCTTAAAAACTTTTTGGGAGTTTTTCTTCTCCCTTTATTTTATTGCTAGCTAGCTTTTTGGGCCCCTTTCTAGCTTTTATCTGAGTTTGACCTTTCCTTTTGGGTTTGTTTGTGTTTTGGTTGGGTGTTGGGATGCTCCTTGGTTGCCGAAATAGTTATTTGTGAGGTACGAAATCACCAAAAGATGTACAGGTGGGTTCCAGTGTGTTTCCTAGAAATGTTGATGTTTCTAGTGGTATGATAACCACTATAAAACTTGATGGGACCAACTTTTTGGGGTGATCCCAATCGGCTAAACTTACTATCACAGGGAGAGGTAAGTTGGGATGCATTATAGGCAAGGAGGTGAAGTTGAAAATTGAAGACCTTAAGTTTGCAAAGTGGGAACAAGATAACTCACTGGTAATATCTTGGCTTGCTTCTTCAATGCAACATTACATTTCTCGTAACTACATGTTCTTCTCGAGTCTCAATTGTTAAAGATATTTGGGGTAGGGTTGTCGCCGCTTACAGGTTAACAATACTGCTAGAGTATATCAGCTTAGGAGAGAAGCTT